ACAGGGTCTCACTTTGTAGGCCAGGTTGGCCTGGAACTCATTATGTAGTAATCCTCCTGCCTTAGCTCCCTGAGTGCTGGGATTGCAGGCATGAGTCCACCTTACTTAGCTGAGAGCATCAGTTGGTGTTGTTCAGAAAAGTAACTCAAGGCATCTGCTTTGAATTTATTGTCTCCCAAGACTGCTTTTCGTTTATCAACATTAATACGATGCTGGTTGCTAAGTAAGATTAGGCACATAGCAGATATATAAAGTTTTGAGGGGGATAAAGTTAAAGTTGAAATGATAGAGCTATACTTTATAACATAGCCTATAATCTGAAATGCCTTCAGAGGTGAGGGAGGGGTATATAAGACAAAATTAACTGCATTGCAGCCTCCGTGGGCAACAGAGAGAGCTGGGCACAGTACAAAGTCTCAGCAGCCCAGTGACTCTGCAGCCAGTGCTTGGTCCTGTGAGAACAAGTCTGGCATTATCAAATGTGATTTTGCAAGAGAAATGAAGTTAGGGACTTCATTCAGTTTTGCATGTCAAATTTCCAAATGTTAAATGGCAACTAGTTGGAAAAAGTTAAAAGTTTATCCGGAAGAAGACTATATAATCTAAAACCTTCCTGTCGGCCAAACCTAGGCCCCAGTCTTGTATCTCCATGTACACAGCAGGGGAACACCTTCATTCCTGATGGGGCTTCCGAAGCCTCAGTCTCCATTCCCTGTGTCTAGAAATCACCTCATTACTTCATATCACCAAATAAAACAACTTTTACTACTGTACTCTATTACTGCTATTAACAACAGTGGCATAGATGGCATAGATTGGAATCATCTCTGATTACAAAACAACTCTAAGTATGCTATTAATATAGCAGCAATCAGAATTTATATGTACTCTTGTTGTTTTCAAACATTATCTTAGTCTTCTATATTAACAATAAGCTATACAGGAACAAATCTATAATCTCAGTTTGCAGCTCAGAAATCTGAAGCAAGGAGCAATTAAATACCCAAGATAATAAATAATATAGTGGCAATCTGGAGATTAAACTCATTTACTTTGATCAATGAGTTTTTTTCTTTTTCTTTCTATTTTTTGTGTATGAGTGTATTACCTGCATGTAAGTAAGTGCACCCATGCTGTGCAATGCCCACAGAGGTCAGAAGAGGGCATCAGATTCCCCTGGAACTGGAGCTTCAGACAGTTGTTAGCCACCATGTGGGTGCTGGGAATCAAACCTGGGTCTGCTACAAGAGCGGCCAGTGCTCATAACTGCTGAGTCATCTCTCCAGCCCCTCAATGAGCTTTTCTCTGACCTAGTTTTGTTGTTTTTATGTATGATCATTATCTAATTAATACTGAATTCTGTGGTAAGGAGAAACGTATGTACAACAATAATCTGTGGGAAGCTAAACTATATACTTGAGGTCTTACTGAAAAGTTCTGTAACAGGATAAAGGGATTTTTTGCTAAAATGCAAGTATGTATGTGCATGTTTTCAAAATTAGCTTTTGTAAAATTAACCATTTTCTTTACATTTAACCCTACCAGGAACAGTGCAAGCTAACAAAGCCATTTACTAAAGAAATAAGTTAGGCATATAAATGACAGACTGGCAGATGGTTATATAGTTTTTATTTGTGACATTTGAATTCCTACGCTCACACAGAAATGATTTCATAAATATCCTTTAGATTTATTTTGATTTTCTAATTGATTTACTTATGTTAGTCTGCTTTTCTTACAGTCAAACCTTAATTGAGTCACAAATGGAACTAAAATATGGTTAATATTTTTCAGATGTATTTTTAAAAAGATACAGAAAAAATTTGAAACCAGAACACTAGAAGCTAATAAAACAGCTTGTTTGATTAGAAATGGACTCTTCCTCTATGTTATTCAAATCCTCACATACCATCGAAAAGTTTAACACATGCTTAACACCCACCTAGGCGAAAATGCCTTCTTATACAAGTTCTTTGTTGATAAACATTTTTAAGCCCGAAAAACAATAATTTCTTCCAAAACACACTTCATTTGGTTAATTCTAGAAGGGATTCATGAATTTCTACAGAGGCCAAAGTAATCAAAGCAGGAATGACAATGTTATCCAAATCATACCTCTGCCCATTTCTTGAAGACAGGGCCATATTTCATTTCCTCACAGTATGACATCTTCCAAGGTATGGAAGGGACAGTAGGAAGTAGGAAGTGAGGAACAGTCATCAATGCTGAGAATGATGGACTGGCATAGTCACAGGAGGTGAGAGGGACGGTCTTAAGTTCCTTTATATTTTCCCAGTTAAAGAAAATCTCAACCAGCTGCGTGTGGAGGCACACGCCTTTGATCCCAGCACTCAGGGGGCAGAAGCAGGTGGTCTCTGCTAGTTCATAGTGAGTTCTAGGCTAGCCAGGCCCATGTAGTGAGACCTTGTCTCAAAACAAAACAAAACAAAAACAAACAAAACAAAACAAAAAGCCAAGCAAACAACAGAAGGAG